TTAGGATGCCTGCCTAGCGTGTGGAAAACAAATTTAAGAGGAAAATAATTACTAGGGAAAAATTACCTTTTGTTTTATTTTTCCAATTATCCAATTTCTTGAAGGAAATCGAATGAATGTTATATTGTTAGATAGCATATGCATTAAACTTACATTATAACATTACATTATAACATTACATTTCTGTGTTTTTATATCAATTTCGTTGTTTAAGAATCTCACAGTAACGTTTACTTATAGTACTTAAGAAATTATTTGAAATTGGTTTTGGCAGAAAATATAGGATGTATGGTTGTCCATGTCTAACATAAAGGTTATTTAATATGAGAGGAAGAACTTTACACTGGGAGTCATGACACTTGGATTCTAATCCTAGAATTATCAGTAACTAGCTATGGAACTTTGAGACTATTTAATTTAAGTGGAATCAGGTATATCTTTTGAAGAAGTTATAGTATTGGACAAAACAGTAAATGATTTTTTTCTTCCTTTCTTTTCTTCCCTTTTTTTTTTTTCTTTTTGATATTAGGAATTAAACTCAGGATCTTGTGCTTGACAGGCAGGCAACTATGTTGCTGAGCTATATTCTCTGCCCCCCTTTTTTAATTAAAATTTTTTGAGATTTTTCAAATGTGTCATCAAACCAAAATATATTTCAGTGAAGTGCTTTGCACAAAAATAGTTTTGATTTGCACTTGTACTGCAAGTGACAGCACATTGCTATTTGTAATTCTACCCCTTTTTCCTGTGGTTACATTTAACAGGAAATAAATTTGCCAATTTGTAAAATTTTTTTCTTCAGTCACATTACTACTAAAGAAAAATACTAAAGTAAATGATCTATAAAGCTTTAACATAAACACATACCTTAACACCTACAAAAGTAAATTATTTTCAAGGCCCACCTATGATTTTGAGTTTCTGTAGAATAGATGGGAAAATATATAAACTGAGACCTTATTATCATTCATCAAATCCTGTTTTCTTTATATAAAATGTGTAACATGAAATCTGTTTTTGGTCCACTGACTCCTTTTTCCTCTACTCTTTTTTTAAAAAATGTATTTAGTACAGGGTCTACAGGGTTTTACTACACAGATCGGATTTGTAGTGATCCTCCTGTTTTTCAGCCTCCCAAGCTCTGGGGTTACAGGTGTGCACCACCATGCCCAATCTCAATCACTGTCTCAGCCCTTCCCAGGGCGGGGCCTACATGGCATGTGGTGCCAGGGATGGAACCCAGGTCCCTGAAGTCTGCCTAAACAGGTGCTTTAGTTTGCTGAGCTATCTGGCTGGCCCTTCTTTTTCCTCCATTCTTGATGTGTCACAGAAAACTTATGAATGACTTTGTTTTTCTAATTACATATTTGTGCATGAATTAATCCATAAAATTTGGAAAATTAAAAAAGTAAAGCAACACACAAATATTCATAATCTAAAAAAAATTCAACCCTATCTTCCTGTTGTCTCTTTGTCTTTGTCTCTGTCTCACCCTGTGTGTGTGTGTGTGTGTGTGTGTGTGTGTGTGTGTATTCTGTAATCCCAGCACTCAGGAGACTGAGGCAGGAGGATCGTTGCAAGTTTGAGACCAGCCTGGGCTACAAAGTGAGCTTATGGCCAGCCTGAACTGCATAGTGAGACCCTGTCTTAAAAAAATTTAAAAAAAGTAGAATAAAGTTAAGTTCATGAACCAAGATATATATTAGCATAGCATACTCTGGAGTCTGATTTCTCTCATTTTGTGTGTACTTCCTTAGAACTAATTGGAATGTTCACAATGATGTCCTCATATTCCAATAAACTATCAGAAACTAAGTAAACAATTTTATATAGATTTTTGAATAGCTATAATTATACTAGGACCACCTCATTCTTTCTCTTTCTCTGTTCCAGAATGGATTGGTTTCATTGCAACCAGTGTTTCCGAAAAGATGGAACCCATTTCTTTGTCACCAGCTGTGGCCATATTTTCTGTAAAAAATGTGTAACTATGGGTGGGTAATTTGTTTTTAGATTCAATCAAAAATGTTTTTAATCTAGATACAGTGATTAACTATTTCTGTTTGACTTAGGATAAAAATTACTTGTTAGGCCAGTGGTGGTGTGTCTACTTTGGGAAACTGTCAATTTTGGAAATTGGAGCCCATTAATAAAAAATGGTGCTAAACAATTTAGCAAGCCTATTACTTGAATACCAACAGGTACTTATCAGTATTTTTGAAGTGTATGGTAGAAAAAGCCACAGTGGGTCTGAAATGATGGTGACAGCAATAATGATAATGATGACCTTGTAGTTTAAAAATGCATTTAGCTGGGTATAGTGGCACATACCTGAATCCCAGCACTTTATAGGCTGACACAGGATCACTATGAGTTCAAGGCTAGCCTGAACTACATAGTGAAACCCTGTCTCAAAACAAAAAAGATTTGTGAAGTCTTTTCACTTGTGCCAAGTCCTAGGTGAAATTATTGATATAGCTATTTTACAAGTGAGTAAACTAACTCAGAGAGAATAATGTGGCCAAATTCTTTTAACTATTAAGCCTTAAAAAGGAGATTTTAAGATTAATTTTGTTTTGTTTGCAGTGCTGGGAGTCCAGGCATGGTGGTATATGGCTATAATCCTAGCACTTGGGAGGCTGAGGTAGGAGGATCTTGAGTTGGAGGCTAGCCTGGACTATATAGTGAGTTCACAGAAAACAAAAATGCTTAGGAGAGCCTGCAGATTGGATGTAATAATATGTACCTGTCTTCTAGCTACTTAGGAGACTCAGGCGGGAGTGTCATTTGAGCCCAGGAATTCAGGGCCAGGTTGGGCAATATAGTGAGACCCTGTGTAAAAAAGAAAACAAAACAAAACCAAAAAACTTACTAGGGAGCTGGGCATGGTTGCCTGCCTGTTATCCCAGAACTCAGGAGGCTGAGGCAAGATTATAGCCACAAGTTTGAGGCCAGCCTAGGCTACATAGTGAGTTCAAGACAAGGCTGGAATAGTGAGATCATATCTCAACAAACAAAACAAAACCCTCACAATATATGTAGTTACATACATCCCCAGAAGACTCAGGATAGTGTGCTTTAGTCAAGGAAGACTTCACAGAAAAAGATATCGATGGAGTATTTTTTGGATAATGAACTAGAGTTTGCCAAGTTTATAAGATAGGAAAGGTCATTTCAGTTTCAGACAACAGCAGAAACTGAAAAATGTATCATGAAAGCATGGTAGAGGTGAGCACAGTGGCATACTCCTGTAATTCTAATACTCTTGAGAGACTGAGGTAGAAGGATTCCATGTACAAGCCCAGCCTGGGAAACTTAGCAGCTTAACAAGATCCTGTCTCAAAATAAAAAAAAATTTAAGAAGGCTGAGGCTGTAGCTCAGTGCCAAGCCCTAGGTTTAGGCCCTACTACTGCAAAACAAAACTGAACTATAGTGTAGAAAACTACACATAGTTGAAATTATTAAAATTTTTAAAGAGTAAAGTAAGAAATAGTAAAAGTTGAGGCTAGAGAAGTAGACACTAGCTAGATGATGGAAGTCTCTGTATACTAGGCTAAAGATCCTGAACTGTATCCTGTAGGTTATCAAGAGCTATGAAGGTTTGTTTTCCTTTTTTCTTTTTCTTTCTTTTTTTTTTTTTTTTGGTGGAACCAGGGATTGAACTCAGGCCCTTGCTCCTGCCAGGGAAGTGCTTATTCTCCTGAGCTATCTCTCTGGCCCCTGTTGTTTTTCTTAAAAGAATGAATTGTACTTGCTGGCTTACATAGGGAGCTATATGGAAACTTGAATGGGAAAAACCTTTTTTCCCCAAGGAAATAACATTCAGGTTAGCTACCCTCTGGAGAAGCTTTTTCCCTTTGTGTGAATCTCATGGCCCTCTTAAGTTATCATCTAACGTAATGAAGCACTTCACTATGGTAACAGCAGCTCACTTTGAAGTGATGTGTCTCTGAAGCATACGCTCTGTGATATTTTCCCCTGATGTGGCATGTGTCTTCATCAGTAACCAGCATCACTACTAAAATTGTACTTCACAAGGAACGTTAAGGAGTTTTATGTTTTCTTCTTTGAGATTGGAATAACTGGAGACTGAGAGAACATTGAGGCAAAATTTAGGAATATTAGTAAAGTGAAAAGAGGAAGGAATAACTAGGGAATGTCTTATAATACCAGCATATGCTTGCTGTCAGGTAGCTAGGATAAAAAAAAAGTAGAGTAACTTAAAGCTAAGATCATTGTGTAGAGGATGAGGGAAGAAGAATGGAAGAATGTGAATAGTTCAGAAAGAAGGAAAGAAAAAGGAGATAAGAGATAGGACTTTGGTGACAGCACTCAAACTTTAGCCAAGAGAGAAATACAAATGATACAAGTAGGAAAGAAAGAAGTTAAATAGTGCTTACTTGGAGATGGCATTATCCTTTACATAAAAGACCCAAAAAATCTCTACCAGAAGACTCATGAAAGACTCCTTAGAACTAGTAAATATAGCAAGACATGCTGGCGCATTCCTTTAATCCCAGCACTCTGAGGCTGAGGCAGGAAGACTGCAAGTTCAAGGCCCACCTGGGCAAGTAAAAGACTTAAACCTTGTTTTAAAAAGAAAAAAATTGAGGGGAGGCCGCAGCCGGGAAAATGGCGGACCGAAAGGCGGGAGAGGAGAAGCCTGAGAAGTCGAAGCGAGCTGGAGCCACCGGAGGACCTGAAGAAGAAGCAGAAAAACCTGTGAAAACTAAGACTGTTTCTTCCAGTAATGGAGGGGAAAGTTCCAGTCGCAGCGCTGAGAAGCGATCAGCTGAAGAAGAAGCTGCAGACCTCCCAACAAAGCCTACAAAGATCTCCAAGTTTGGATTTG